TGAGCGGGGTACCGCCGTTCCGGAGAGACGGCTGGAAAATTCCACCGGCCGGCCCGGCGGCAGTGTGTCGGGCGGCGGGCGGCGGGGCGGGGTTTCCCCGTCCAGCGGCCGGCAGCGCTGAGCCGAGTCGTTCCCACGGTCTGGCGGCCAGCTGGGTGGGGGCGGGGTGGGGAGTGGGGCGGCCGATTGCCAGCCGCTTCTCCACGGGCAGGTGCTGCCACCTGCGCAGTAGTTCCACTGGCGGCCGCCAGGCCCGTGCGGCAAGCGGGCAATGCGCGGTAGTTCCGCCAGCGGCCACCAGATGGATACCGCCGCGCGCGTCGTGTCTAACCTGACGAAGCTACAAAAAGTTAGATAACTTTAATAAGAGGGACGGTAAAGCCACAATTCCAACGCTGAATGTTGGGCAAAAGCAAAGGGATCCAACACAGCCATCTGTATTTACTGTATTTACCCTTTTCAGTCAGCGATAAGCCCCAGCAATCGCACCGCTGCAAAACTCGCAAGCTGTTCACCGTGCAGGGTATTGCATTATAAGCACCCACCGGCTCTTTCGACGTAAGTGTAATCGCTTAATAGGTAGGACGCAAAAAGTATGTGGGAAATGATAGGTAGGTGAAACAAAATACGAATTGGCATTAAGCATAACTCAAACTGCAAACATTCATTGAAAACAAATTAAAACGAACTGAGACCAAGGGAAATTTTGAAAGTCTTTGGTCGTCTTAAGACGTCTGATTTAAACTCTTTGCGGTATTTAGGCCCGCAAGTAAATACCTTTGGCAGGTTTTCAGTACATTAGCAAGTTTTCAGTACATTACCAAGTAGCAGGTGATACAGCAAGCTGGCAGGTACTTTGGCAAGTTCAACAAGTTTTTCGTGAATATCTAAGCTTCTAGACGTCCGATTAACACGGGACGAACACCAATCGATCCCAAATTTTCTCCCTCATACTTTGATTGCCAAAGCGACGCGGAGCGAGCCAAGATATCTTGTTTAAATATCCATTTGAGTAGGATTGCGGGTTTTTTGAATTGCTCAGTTTTTGCAGCGAGCTTTTTCTCTTAGGGCCTGCGAGATACCCGCGGAAACACATATCTCTTCAACATTGCGCGCCTCACAGGAATGCGGCTGATTCACGTGCGATTGTGAGCGAGGTGCTTCCCTCCGGGAGAAATTCGCCGTCCCCATATGCTTAACACAGAGCCGAGCGGCGGCTGACAGGTGGCCGGCTCTCGCGAGATCGGCAGCCGACACTCGAAAAATCGACAAGCCGCCGCTGAATGCGCGTGCGGCAGTGCTGAGCCGAGTCGTTCCCACGGTCTGAGGTACCCCCAGTTTGAAGATTCGGCTGTAGAATATGTAGTTTTAAATACGTAGTTTGACGTACATCTCGGAAAAGTGAGATACGGCCAGAAATGAGTGTTGGTCCCTACTTTCTGAAGATTCTGATCGACGCCGATTGAAATAATTCGCCGTGCATATCTCGGCTTATTGACGACCGATTGACACGGGATCAACACCGATCGATACCAAATGGCTCTGTGGGGGGGGGGGAGTAGAGTGGCAAGTTTTCCTACCCGACGAACCCGGAATTATCCCGAGGGGGTAGGTGTGGGAGTAGAGTCGGGGGAACGGGGGGGGGGCGAGTGCAAGTACCAAGTACTTTCGCAAGTACCAAGCAAGTACCAAGTACTTTTACAAGTACCAAGCAAGTACCAAGTACTTATGGAAATACCAAGCAAGTACCAAGTACTTTGGCAAATACCGAGTACTTATGCAAATACCAAGCAAGTACCAAGTACTTTGGCAAGTACCGAGTACTTTGGCAAGTACCAAGCAAGTACCAAGTACTTTTGCAAGTTCAGCAAGTTTTCGCCAATATCGAAGCTTCTAGACGTCCGATCATCACCGGAAAAACACCATTCGATCCCAAATTTCCTCCCGAATCTTTTTATGGCCAACGCGACGCGGAGCGAGCCAAGATATCTTGTTTAAATATCCATTTGACTAGGATTTGGCGTTATTTGAAACGCTCAGTTTTTGCAGCGAGCTTTTCCTGTTAGGGCCTGCGAGATACCCGCGGAAACACATATCTCTTCAGCATTGCGCGCCACACAGGAATGCGGCTGATTCACGTGCTTTTGTGAGCGAGGTGCTTCCCTCCGGGAGAAATTCGCCGTCCCCATATGCTTAACACAGAGCCGAGCGGCGGCTGACAGGTGGCCGGCTCTCGGGAGATCGGCAGCCGACACTCGAAAAATCGACAACCCGCCGCTGAATGCGCGTGCGGCAGTGCTGAGCCGAGTCGTTCCCACGGTCTGAGGTACCCCCAGTTTGAAGATTCGGCCTTAGAATATGTAGTTTTAAATACGTAGTTTGACGTACATCTCGGAAAAGTGAGATACGGCCAGAAATGAGTGTGGGTCCCTCCGTTCTGAAGATTCTGATCGACGCCGATTGAAATAATTCGCCGTGCATATCTCGGCTTATTGACGACCGATTGACACGGGATAAACACCGATCGATACCAAATGGCTCTGTGTGTGTGTGGGGGGGGGGAGGGGGTAGAGTGGCAAGTTTTCCTACCCGACGAACCCGGAATTATCCCGAGGGGGTAGGTGTGGGAGTAGAGTCGGGGGAACGGGGGGGGGGCGAGTGCAAGTACCAAGTACTTTCGCAAGTACCAAGCAAGTACCAAGTACTTTTACAAGTACCAAGCAAGTACCAAGTACTTATGCAAATACCAAGCAAGTACCAAGTACTTTGGCAAATACCGAGTACTTATGCAAATACCAAGCAAGTACCAAGTACTTTGGCAAGTACCGAGTACTTTGGCAAGTACCAAGCAAGTACCAAGTACTTTTGCAAGTTCAACAAGTTTTTCGTGAATATCTAAGCTTCTAGACGTCCGATTAACACGGGACGAACACCAATCGATCCCAAATTTTCTCCCTCATACTTTGATTGCCAAAGCGACGCGGAGCGAGTCAAGATATCTTGTTTAAATATCCATTTGAGTAGGATTGCGGGTTTTTTGAAGCGCTGAGTTTTTGCAGCGAGCTTTTTCTCTTAGGGCCTGCGAGATACCCGCGGAAACACATATCTCTTCAGCATTGCGCGCCACACAGGAATGCGGCTGATTCACGTGCTTTTGTGAGCGAGGTGCTTCCCTCCGGGAGAAATTCGCCGTCCCCATATGCTTAACACGGAGCCGAGCGGCGGCTGACAGGTGGCCGGCTCTCGGGAGATCGGCAGCCGACACTCGAAAAATCGACAAGCCGCCGCTGAATGCGCGTGCGAAGATGAGCGGGGTGCCGCCGTTCCGGAGAGACGGCTGGAAAATTCCACCGGCCGGCCCGGCGGCAGTGTGTTGGGCGGCGGGCGGCGGGGCGGGGTTTCCCCGTCCAGCGGCCGGCAGCGCTGAGCCGAGTCGTTCCCACGGTCTGGCGGCCAGCTGGGTGGGGGCGGGGTGGGGAGTGGGGCGGCCGATTGCCAGCCGCTTCTCCACGGGTAGGTGCTGCCACCTGCGCAGTAGTTCCAATGGCGGCCGCCAGGCCCGTGTGCGGGCCGTGCGCGGTAGTTCCGCCAGCGGCCGCCAGAGGTCACGCGCGTCGTGTCTAACCTGACGAAGCTACAAAAAGTTAGATAACTTTGATAAGAGGGACGGTAAAGCCACAATTCCAACGCTGAATGTTGGGCAAAAGCAAAGGGATCCAACACAGCCATCTGTATTTACTGTATTTACCCTTTTCTGTCAGCGATAAGCCCCAGCAATCGCACCGCTGTAAAACTCGCAAGCTGTTCACCGTGCAGGGTATTGCATTATAACCACCCACCGGCTCTCTCAACGTATGTGTAATCGCTTAATAGGTAGGACGCTAAAACAAGTTAGAAATGATAGGTAGGTGAAACAAAATACAAATTGGGAACAAGTATAATTCAAATTACAAATAATTCATTGGAACAAATCAAAATTATCTGAGACCAAGGCAAATTCGCAAAGTCTTTGATCGACTAAAGCCGTCTGATTTAAACGTCGGAAAGGAACAAGTTCTTTGCGGTATTTAGGCAAGTAAATACCAAGTACTTTGGCAGGTTTTCAGTACATTAGCAAGTTTTCAGTACATTACCAAGTAGCAGGTGATACAGCAAGCTGGCAGGTACTTTGGCAGGTTCAACAAGTTTTTCGTGAATATCTAAGCTTCTAGACGTCCGATTAACACGGGACGAACACCAATCGATCCCAAATTTTCTCCCTCATACTTTGATTGCCAAAGCGACGCGGAGCGAGCCAAGATATCTTGTTTAAATATCCATTTGAGTAGGATTTCGGGTTTTTTGAAGCGCTGAGTTTTTGCAGCGAGCTTTTCCTGTTAGGGCTTGCGAGATACCCGCGGAAACACATATCTCTTCAGCATTGCGCGCCACACAGGAATGCGGCTGATTCACGTGCTTTTGTGAGCGAGGTGCTTCCCTCCGGAAGAAATTCGCCGTCCCCATATGCTTAACACAGAGCCGAGCGGCGGCTGACAGGTGGCCGGCTCTCGGGAGATCGGCAGCCGACACTCGAAAAATCGACAAGCCGCCGCTGAATGCGCGTGCGGCAGTGCTGAGCCGAGTCATTCCCACGGTCTGAAGTACCCCAGTTTGAAGATTCGGCTGTAGAATATGTAGTTTTAAATACGTAGTTTGACGTACATCTCGGAAAAGTGAGATACGGCCAGAAATGAGTGTGGGTCCCTCCGTTCTGAAGATTCTGATCGACGCCGATTGAAATAATTCGCCGTGCATATCTCGGCTTATTGACGACCGATTGACACGGGATAAACACCGATCGATACCATATGGCTCTGTGGGGGGGGGGGGGGAGTAGAGTGGCAAGTTTTCCTACCCGACGAACCCGGAATTATCCCGAGGGGGTAGGTGTGGGAGTAGAGTCGGGGGAACGGCACACACGCGGCCATCGACCGTGCGGAGGTGCTCGTAAGAGCGCGGACCTCGGACGCTGTGAAGGAGCAGGCGAAGAAAGAAAACTTCGCCCGCGCGCGGCGTCGTGGTGTACACGCGCGACAGAGTCTCAGAGGCAACCACGCCCGGCACCTCGGGGTGAGGCTGGCCACGGACGCGGCGTTTCCAGTGGGCCGGACGGGCGTCTGCGCCCCGGCCGCGTCGCACCTGCCACGTGTAGTATCGCGGCACCTCTGGGTAGAGGAGTGTCGCCGCGAACGCGTCACGCTGGCACAGCTCAAAGAAGGCTGTGAGCATGGATGGATTAGCCTGCTCGCCCGCGATGACCGCTTCCAGGTTTTCGTCGCCGCGGAACACGACACGTCTCTCGTCGTCACCGAGATGCAGCTGCAGCCGCTGGACCGGCGGATGATGGACGTGGACTGGTCGGTCGAGCAGCCGCCACGCTGCCTCCATGGATCCCAGGTACCGGCTGTTCTGATACTGGGTCACCTCGTCAACCACGCCGTCGGGCTGCACGGCGAACATGATCCTATCCGAGCCCTTGGTGACGTACTTGATGCAGTAGCGGATCGCTCCCATCGCGTGCGTGATCAGCTCGACGTTGACGTGTGAGTCCAGCGCGCGAAGGATGTGCGGATTGTAGGGAACGATCCAGCGGTTGTCGATTTCCACACCGCGCCGTCCGGGCGTCCGCGCACGTTGACCGCCGTCCTCCGGCGCGCGCCGCCTGTACTTGGGATAGCTGCGCTCTGGCAGCTCTGTGGCCTCCAGATACGGGCGCGGATAGCCGACGCTACAGCGGCCGTCCTTCATGCAGACCGCCTGCGGGTTCAGCGCGCCGCACGGACCATGCACCATCTTGGTGCAGACGATCGCGTGCAGTTCCGGATCGGTCTCGGGATCTGGCAGCTCAGCGCACACGCACGTGTCCACGTCTTCGGCGCGAGGTTTGTCGGCGGGCACGACCCACAGCAGAAGGTGAGCGTGCGGCAGGCCACGCTTCTGCCACTCAATCGTGTGCAGAATGGCCCGCTGTCGACCCAGGATGCCGCCCCGCAGCTGCTTCAGCAGCGCCTGCAGCTTGAGGTCAAACACCTGACTGACAACGTCAGGGTGGTCGCACGGCCGATCGTAGTCGCCCGGCCTCTCTCCCGGGTAGAGGGTGCGCAGAGTTTGCTCAATCTCTGGCCAGGCCGGGTTGCACGTCACGGTGATGAAAAAGTCGGCGGCGCCAAAGTCTCGAACGTAGCAGAGAGCGTCTTGTAGTTTGGCCATCATGAAGCGCGGACTACTCGTTACGGATGCCGGCAGCACCACGCGCCGTCCGACGGCTCGGCCGTGCTCCTCGCCGTCAGCCAGCGCGTCTCGCACGCCGCGGATGGTCTCGGCGCGGAAGCCGTTGAAGCCGTCCTGGTTCGCGCGCACATACGACAGACGACTCGACTCAGCTTTTGCCTCAGTGTCCACCAGGTACTGTTGAAACAGCCGGCCCCCTCGCGGAATGAGATTGAAATGACCCGGTCGGAAGCGCATGTGGAACGCACCATACTGACGGATTGTGACGCCGCGCTCGGCCTTCAGCTCGAGCGACCACCCGTCCGTGCCGCGCGGGTGCAGCAGCACATAGAGCAGCGGGTCGTACTGGCGGCTCAGTTCGTCGATGCGGAACAGTTGTCCGCCGCGCTCGCGAACGACGATGTCGCGCCGGCCCCCCATCTCATTGGGCATCAGGACCGCCACTTCGCGACCGATCGGTAGATTGAACCGGCGCTCGTGCTCCGACAGCGGCCGGTGTTCGGCCGACAACACGATCCGGCAGTTCGGCACACCGCGCGCCATCAGCAGAGCCGGCTGGAGCGCACGCACGTAGTTGTTGTGCTCGTGCAGCATGCCCAAAAGGATGTCGAGAACGGCTCTGTCGAGGCCGCCACACATGGTGGCACGTCGCGCGGTGGCCTCGTCTGCGTCGAGGAAATACACCTGCATGAACTGCTCCTCGCCGCCGCGAGCGGGCAGTAGAGATCCCATACGATGACACACGCTACCCTGAACGGTGAAAGCCGCGTGATACGCCCCGTCGTGTCGGACGACGTTGCACCCCATACTGGCCAGCTGGAAGGCCGTGTTGTAAGCGCGAATTTTGCCCCGAAACTCGTCATAGAACGCCGTGCCGGGGGTCATCAGCTCCACCATCTCGTCCGGCGGCGGGGGATGGAAGTCAAGCTGCACCTTGCCCTGATGGCAACAGGCGCCTGCGGGCTCGGCACGCCAGCGCAGCGCTCCACAATGGGCACAGACGGTGTCCATTCGGCCCAGCTGCATGCCAGCCGGCGGCTCGAACTCGGCGGGGACATAATTGCGAGCCAGCAGGTGCTGGTCGCCTCGACGACGGGCGGGCGCGTCCACCGGAGCCTGTCCATCAGCGCCCCCCACTGCCTCCGCGTCGTGCGCATCGGCCGCGGGCTGGCGGGCCGCTGCGCCGTCTGGCGCATCGACCGCTGCCGCCTCCACAGCGTCTACAGCATCATCGGGCGTGTGGGGCGCCTCCTCTCCTACAGCGCCGCCCACTGCCTCCGCGTCGGGCGCATCGGCCGCGGGCCGGCGCGCCGCTGCGCCGTCTAGCGCATCGACCGCTGCCACCTCCACAGCGTCTACAGCATCATCGGGCGTGTGGGGCGCCTCCTCTCCTACAGCGCCGCCCACTGCCTCCGCGTCGGGCGCATCGGCCGCGGGCCGGCGCGCCGCTGCGCCGTCTAGCGCATCGACCGCTGCCACCTCGACAGCGTCTACAGCACCATCGGGCGTGTGGGGCGCCTCCTCTCCTACAGCGCCGCCCACTGCCTCCGCGTCGGGCGCATCGGCCGCGGGCCGGCGCGCCGCTGCGTCGTCTGGCGCATCGGCTACTGTCGCCTCGACAGCATCTACAGCACCATCGGGCGAGTGCGTTGCCACCTCTCCTACAGCGCCGCCCACTGCCTCCGCGCCGGGCGCGACGTCCGCGACACCGCCCACCACCGGCGGTTCAAACGCAGTCGGTGGTGCGATCGGCTGATCCGCCACACCAGCAGCAACAGGTGGCTCAAGACCTGCGCCGTCTCTCCCTGTCCTGACCTTAGTGCGAGCCGTAGCCATTCTCTCACGATTGCGTCGCTGACGCTCGGCGAGCTCAGCCTCCGATTCACGCTCCCTCCTAAGTCGATGACGCTCCCGGTCACGCTCGCGTCGCGCGGCAGCGATATCCGCGGCAAGGATGACCGGCGGCTGGGCCCCCGATGGACCGGGAACCGGCACTGCATCGACTACCGCCTGATGGGAAGGGCCCGCGCCACCTGTCTGATCTCTTTGTCTAGCGCGCGCCAGAGCCTGGCCTTCACGTTTACGTTGCAGGCGAAGAAGTCGCTCAGCCTCAGTTTCTCGCTCTCGGGCGAGGCGACGACGCTCGCGATCACGCGCCCGTCTCGCGGCCGCGGCGTTCACCGTCGGATCTACGGACTGACCGTTACGTTGACCGTTTGCGGGTTCAGCTGCATCGCCATCGACCATCAGACCGTCAGCGCGCCGTGCCACCGTCTCCGGCGCTGGCCCCGGAGGGTCGGCGGCGGTCGGGCGACTCGGCGACGTTGGCGGAGGTGTTTGACCCGACATTGCGAGCAATTCTGGAAATGGAACAAAGGAACGGGATTACAATCGGAATCTGCTAGGAGGAGGCAAAAGGGTAATACTGTTTGAAATTGTTTTAACGGACTTTCACTGGATAGTGGGTAAAAGTTATTATTGGTCCCGTTCGATGGGGCACACATAGGTTTAAAACAGACAAAAATCAGGTAGCCATTTTTCGCAACACATCAATCAAATTTCTAAATATCCAGCACGTGACGCACAACTTGCCTATTCTCATATGTAAAACATAGCCAATAGGTACACTTCCTCTTCCAAAGAAAAACTACTGTTTTAGAGCACTGTCCCATATGGGGCTAAGCGAGAATTTACCCACGCCCTGGTTTAAAGACGGATTGCACACTCGAATTTCGATCGCTTCTCTAACCACACGGCGACCCCATGTCGGCTCCACAGCTGCAGTGCTGGCCTGCCTCGGGTCGAACTGCCGCCCACACTGTAGCCATTCAAAGCATTTAACCAAATCCATCAGGCACTACTACCACATGACTCACCCCAGTTCAAATGGTTAAAATTCAAAATTCGGGTCGGGTCGGGTCGGGTCGGGTCGGGTCGGGTCGGGTCGGGTCGGGTCGGGTCGGGTCGGGTCGGGTCGGGTCGGGTCGGGTCGGGTCGGGTCGGGTCGGGTCGGGTCGGGTCGGGTCGGGTCGGGTCGGGTCGGGTCGGGTCGGGTCGGGTCGGGTCGGGTCGGGTCGGGTCGGGTCGGGTCGGGTCGGGTCGGGTCGGGTCGGGTCGGGTCGGGTCGGGTCGGGTCGGGTCGGTCGGTCGGTCGGTCGGTCGGTCGGTCGGTCGGTCGGTCGGTCGGTCGGTCGGTCGGTCGGTCGGTCGGTCGGTCGGTCGGTCGGTCGGTCGGTCGGTCCTGCTGACCGATATCTTTTTCAAGATCACATTAGTGCCTGCAATCCACAACTACCACGCCTCTGCCATTATCAATTTTTTGTTAGAATATTATTTTTTACCACACCTCTGCCATTATCAATCTTTGTTAGAATAATATTTTTTAAGCTTTTCATTTAAACTCAAAGCATTTAACCAAATCAATCAGGCACTACGGGATTACAATCAGAATCTGCTAGGAGAGGGCACATGGGTAATACTGTCTTATCAATAGACAAACACCAAACACAATCCATCTGCCAGCGTCAGTTCTTTATGTTAGATTATAATAATTTTATAATTTTAATTACAGATTTAAGTATTTAGTTATAACAGTCTGGCGCACTACCACAATGCTGCTAGCCTGAGTTCAAACACAGAGATGAATTTCAAATTCAAGCAATAATTTAGCACCATAGCAGCCACCTTTGCAATGATATATCAATTCTTTATTAGAATGTTATTTTTAAGCCTTTCATTTACATTCAAAGCATTTAACCAAATCAATCAGGCGCTACTACCACATGACTCATCCCAGTTTAAATAGTTAAAATTCAAAATTAGTTGAGTCGAGTCGAAAAACAACAGGTGGTCCTAACTTCGCTCTTTCAAGAACATTATGCAATCAGCTGACAGCTGATTGCAGCTGTTGCTATATCAACACTGTTTACAGATGTAATAAAGGTAGAAAAATAGCCAACAACTCACATCTAGCACCTAGCCCCTAGAGAACATCTACTGTGCAACCTACGTTTCAATGACGGATGCAGTCACACACTGACATATAGATCGAAAATGTCATGTTTTTCCTGCTATCACTGCCTTATGCAACCTCCAAACACTGAAGAAATTCAGTAATTTAAGAGAGAAAAGAAAAAAAAACTCATCCTCCAAGTTCCAAAAGTGACACCACACATCAAAACTCACAATACATTTTACACAAACATTTTATGTACCAAACCACCACCCCGAGCAAGGTAAGGTTGAGTTATGTTAGGTCAGATTTGGTCAAGACAGGTTACGTTCTGCAAATTTAAATTAGGTCCAGCTTCTATAGCAACTGATGACTGACTGGAGAGAACCAAAATGTCTCCTGTCTAACAGGAAATTTTTGCACAAATGTGCCAAAAAAAGAACAGGCAGCCCTATCTTTGTACTTTGAAGTAAATCATGCAGTTAGCTGAGCGCTGCAGCTCCAACTACCTTTTCCACCCTTTGCAAAGCACAAACTGAATGAATTCAGGCAATAAAATATGAAAACATCCTTCTAAGATTGGAAAATAACATCACGCATTGATACTCACAATACTTTTTATTTAAAAAAAATATTTATGACTCACCTGACCATACGCTGGGCCAAATAAGGCTTAGTTACATTGGGAATGGCAAGGTCATATTAGAAGGGAAGGGTTCAGCTTTTGCATTTCTGCTGACGCCACACCTGTTCTGTTGGTTTTATGCACATTTAGAGCCCTGGGTTCAGAGGGCGGCTTTAAATGTCTCCTGTCTAACAGGAAATTTTTGAACAAATGTGCCAAAAAAGGAGCAGGCAGCCCTATCTTTGTACTTTGAAGTAAATCATGCAGTTAGCTGAGCGCTGCAGCTCCAACTACCTTTTCCACCCTTTGCAAAGCAGAAACTGAATGAATTCAGGCAATAAAATATGAAAACATCCTTCTAAGATTGGAAAATAACATCACGCATTGATACTCACAATACTTTTTATTTTAAAAAAAATATTTATGACTCACCTGACCATCCGCTGGGCCAAATAAGGCTTAGTTACATTGGGAATGGCAAGGTCATATTAGAAGGGAAGGGTTCAGCTTTTGCATTTCTGCTGACGCCACACCTGTTCTGTTGGTTTTATGCACATTTAGAGCCCCGGGTTCAGAGGGCGGCTTTAAACTGCTAGGTAACTGCTTTTCAAGTTCCTAACATCACGTTTCACCATCACCATATTAAAAAAGTTCAAAATGTTTTAAGCAGCAGACTAATAAAAACTGGCAAAAACTAAACTTTTGCTTCAAATTGTTTCATGAGGCAAAATATTAGGATAAATCACTTCAATTAAAGGCAATCATGCACGCGCCACGTTAGCCGCGCCACTTGCATTTTTCGTAATAAATAAGCCTTTATGCACCAAAACCACCTTTGAAAAATCATCCCAGTAATTAACAACAGCTCTCAAGGTCAATTGGCATTCATATGTAATCTTAACACCCTCCAAATTCAAAATGTTTTATCTAAATCATTGTGACGCATCCACCACCAAGCTCACCTCGGTCCAAACACAACGGCCGATTTAGTGATGAATATTAAGCGTATTAAAAGAAATGCCTATTTGAAGGAGTTCATGAATACTTTGTTACACAGAAATGCTTGCCATATTTTTCTACTTTTTTAGAGCTAAACTATGTCTTACTTTGCAGTCCCTCTATCGTATTATGGTATGTAACTATAGTGACGCAGTTTGCTCTCCGCAGCTGGAGCAAACATTTGTCGAACCCGGTTCTGACGGAAATCGTACGATTAGAGATTTTCGAGTCCTACTTGCAAAATGTTTTACCTATTATTTGTATCATGTTTTTCGATCGTCCCTCAATCAATTCCACCCTCTGTCGGCCCCAACTTACCTGAATTTTTGGCGAGTCCGGGCTCGTCCGGTGACGAAAACCGGCCGATCTAGTACGGGCGGACGCCGGCGCCGCGGCCGAGCAGACGGCCCGTCACGGAAGTTGCAGACGGGAGATGATCGGCATAAAGCGCTCGTGTATCTCGGCAGCATCGTGTATTGAGAAAAAAAAGACCCGACTCCGATCTCTGGCGGAGTACGGACTGCCGGTGCCGCCGGTGCCGGACGCCGCCGCCGCCGCCGATGGCGACGACGACGAGCCGCCCGGCGGTCCCGAGTACGACCCGGCCGCTCTGGCCGATCGCGTTGAGCGCGACGAGCCGCGTCTGACGGATGACCAGCGCGCCGTCTATGACGAGGTGCTGCGACGGCTGGACAATGACGAGTCGGGTGTCATCTTCCTGCAAGCTCCAGGCGGCTGCGGGAAGACGTTCTTGGAGAACCTGCTGCTGGCCAAGGTGCGCAGCCGGGGACACGTGGCAGTTGCAGTGGCCACATCCGGCATCGCAGCCAGCCTGTTGGAGGGCGGCACGACTGCCCATCATCGGTTCAAGATCCCTCTGCAGCTGCATCCTGACAACGAGAACGTCTGCGGCATTGATCGCCGCTCTCCCGAGGCCGACTACCTTCGCCGCTGTCGCCTCATTGTATGGGACGAAGCGGCCATGACGAACCGGCGCGCCACTGAGGCGGTCGACCGGGCTCTCCAAGACGTCCGCGACAGGCAAGAGCTGTTTGGCGGCGTTCTGACGCTGCTCTCTGGCGACTGGAGACAGATCCTGCCAGTGGTGAAGCGCGGCGGGCGCGCAGAGGTTGTTGACGCCTGCCTCAAGTCATCGCCCATGTGGCCTCGGATCGACACCATGGAGCTCGCGACCAACATGCGGGCGTTGAACGGCGACGATCAGGCCGGTGAGTTCGCCAACTTCCTGCTGCGCGTCGGCGACGGCCGGCTGCCCGTCGTGGCACAGCCGGACTCGGTGCAGGTGCCCGAGTTGGTGGTCAGTCCGGCGCGCAGTCTCGCCGCCTTGGTCGATCGCATTTTCCCTGACATGGCCGGGCGACACCGTGATGAAGAGTGGCTGCATGAGCGCGCCATCCTCTCGCCGCTAAATGCGACCGTTGACAGGGCGAATGAGGCCGCGCTGGCCCTTCTGCCCGGCGAAACAGTCACGTACGCTAGCGTCGACACCATCAGTGACGACGACAACGAGGATCACGGGCCTCCGGTGCCCACCGAGGTGCTCAACGCGATCGACGTGTCGGGCATGCCGTCGCATCGACTTCAGGTCAAGGTCGGCGCCCCGGTCGTGTTGATGCGCAACCTCGACGCTCCGCGCGTCGTGAACGGCACGCTGTGCACGGTGCTGCGCGCCGCGCCCAACGTGCTCGAGCTGCGAATCGCCAGTGGAGTCGCGCGTGGCGAGACGCTGTTTTTGCCGCGCCTCCCTCTGGTGGTGAGCGCTGTCGATTCCGGCATCGGCCGACCATTCCGCCGCTGTCAGTTCCCCGTCAAGCTGTCATTCGCCATGACCATCAATCGCTGCCAAGGGCAGACTAAGCGACGCGTGGGCATATATCTGCCATCCCCGGCCTTCACTCATGGCCAGTTCTACGTGGCTCTCTCGCGCGTAGGCAGCTTTGATTCAGTCGAGGTGCTTTCCACGCACAACCATCGGACGCGGAATGTCGTATACAGAGAGGTTCTGTGAGGTGCGCGCGCCAGGATCGGGCGTCATACGGGTGCGTTATGGGGCGTTATCTTAGTTCGGTTGTCGAGCGACGATCGGATGTACCCCGCGTTGTGCCGTCCTTCACCCAATTGCTATGACGTTGAGCCCGGAGTGGCCGGAGGAAGCCCTTGCTCCTTGAGTGGGAGGGCCACTCTGTCTGTCCGGGTGGTCAATGTCGACGGCCAACTGTAGGCTGCGGCCAATCGTATTGGGCGTTAGGAAGCGGGTGCGTCATCGGCCGTAATCTTAAACGTTATCGGAAGTATAGTCAGGCGGCGGCGTCCAAGAGCGGTCAGATACTCCTGTGGTCAGTCGTGTGGTACGGCTGGTGGTCCGTGTGCTGGGATTTTTTAGTCTGGAAATGTTAGCGCGTCGCTGTTGGTTGTGAGACCCCCTTTCAGACGTGTGAACGTCTGAAGTCCGTTTCGTGTGATCGATCGGACACTTCACCCCTTGATAGGGGGAGTCTAAACCGCTGCGGGGCGAGTCTTACGTCTGAGCGTGTCAGTGAGTGAGTCCGTGTGCGAATGTGTGCGTGACTGTAACTGTGTCAACTGTCAGGTGTGACGGTTGTTAGGCGCGTCGCTGTCGGTTGTGAGACCCCCTTTCAGACGTGTGAACGTCTGAAGTCCGTGTCGTGTGATCGATCGGACACTTCACCCCTTGATAGGGGGAGTCTAAACCGCTGCGGGGCGAGTCTTACGTCGGGGGGTGCCAGTGAGTGAGTGCGTGGCTGCATCTGCATCCTGTGCTTAACCCTTTCGGTGCTGTGGGTATTTGGAGTGGTGAATGATTGCGCGTGAGTGAGTGTATGCCGGTACGCGCTGACGTAACGGGCCCTTAACCGTTATACTAAAAGTTTGACATCGTTAACGTAAGTTCATCAGGAGGCTGACATTGACATTTCAGTGTGCTTAACTCATTTCATTGTGCTTAAATCATATTTCAAAGTTACTTTAAAAACGTGTTAAGGGCGGGGTGCGCGCTCGGAGCACTTCCACGACAGTGCACCCTGGTAACAGGCTGTGTTCAGTGTGCGGAGCCGACCTTGATGTTCCCTATAAAACCTTCAATCTATCCATCACCTCGGCACGGCGACCCTGAACTATGCCTGGCTAAGACTCCGAGCCTTTTGACTTCCTTATGCCGTGTCCCTGACTACATTTCTCGCCACCATGCAGTTAACCAGCAGGGCCGCCAGTCATCGACACCGGCTGCCGCCAGCAGCCGCAGCTGACGCCAACAAACCCCGGATCCGATAAGCTCTGCCAGGCAATCGGACCAGACCAGTCCAGCTAATCCCAGCAAGTCATTCTGACTGTGTCTAATCCGGTCAGTGTGTCGCCTAATGCCGCTTTGACACTTTGCTTACTTCTGTTTCCTAATCGGCCTTCCTATTGTGTATCGCCATAGCAGCACGCTACATTTACACTACTTCTACTTCACTGCTCTTTTTCTCCTACTGAGCATGCTGCCTACACAGGGCGGTTTTTGTAGCGTAGCTTAGCACGCCAGCATTACCGCTGTCAACCTTCTGAATTCATGTCAGAATGATTCGCCATGTCAACTACTGTGACCTGTCCCCTGGCCCAGTTAGGTAAATCGCTGCTGCTAGATTTCACATAAACATTCACTGCTCGAATTGGCTAATCCCGTCGTTTGGCTGCTGCAAATCTCCTGTGGCCCAATCATGCGCGCGGAGCAAGCAAGTCACCTAGTTTAATATACCATTTGAGTAGGATTGCGGGTTTTTTGAAACGCTGAGTTTTTGCAGCGAGCTTTTCCTGTTAGGGCCTGCGAGATACCCGCGGAAACACATATCTCTTCAGCATTGCGCGCCACACAGGAATGCGGCTGATTCACGTGCTTTTGTGAGCGAGGTGCTTCCCTCCGGGAGAAATTCGCCGTCCCCATACGCTTAACACAGAGCCGAGCGGCGGCTGACAGGTGGCCGGCTCGCGGGAGATCGGCAGCCGACACTCGAAAAATCGACAAGCCGCCGCTGAATGCGCGTGCGAAGATGAACGGGGTACCGCCGTTCCGGAGAGACGGCTGGAAAATTCCACCGGCCGGCCCGGCGGCAGTGTGTCGGGCGGCGGGCGGCGGGGCGGGGTTTCCCCGTCCAGCGGCCGGCAGCGCTCAGCCGAGTCGTTCCCACGGTCTGGCGGCCAGCTGGGTGGGGGCGGGGTGGGGAGTGGGGCGGCCGATGTCCAGCCGCTTCTCCACGGGCAGGTGCTGCCACCTGCGCAGTAGTTCCACTGGCGGCCGCCAGGCCCGTGTGCGGGCCGTGCGCGGTAGTTCCGCCAGCGGCCGACAGAGGTCGCGCGCGTCGTGTCTAACCTGACGAAGCTACAAAAAGTTAGATAACTTTAATAAGAGGGACGGTAAAGCCACAATTCCAACGCTGAATGTTGGGCAAAAGCAAAGGGATCCAACACAGCCATCTGTATTTACTGTATTTACCCTTTTCAGTCAGCGATAAGCCCCAGCAATCGCACCGCTGCAAAACTCGCAAGCTGTTCACCGTGCAGGGTATTGCATTATAAGCACCCACCGGCTCTTTCGACGTAAGTGTAATCGCTTAATAGGTAGGACGCAAAAAGTATGTGGGAAATGATAGGTAGGTGAAACAAAATACGAATTGGAATTAAGCATAACTCAAACTGCAAACATTCATTGAAAACAAATTAAAACGAACTGAGACCAAGGGAAATTTTGAAAGTCTTTGGTCGTCTTAAGACGTCTGATTTAAACTCTTTGCGGTATTTAGGCCCGCAAGTAAATACCTTTGGCAGGTTTTCAGTACATTAGCAAGTTTTCAGTACATTACCAAGTAGCAGGTGATACAGCAAGCTGGCAGGTACTTTGGCAAGTTCAACAAGTTTTTCGTGAATATCTAAGCTTCTAGACGTCCGATTAACACGGGACGAACACCAATCGATCCCAAATTTTCTCCCTCATACTTTGATTGCCAAAGCGACGCGGAGCGAGCCAAGATATCTTGTTTAAATATCCATTTGAGTAGGATTGCGGGTTTTTTGAAGCGCTGAGTTTTTGCAGCGAGCTTTTTCTCTTAGGGCCTGCGAGATACCCGCGGAAACACATATCTCTTCAGCATTGCGCGCCACACAGGAATGCGGCTGATTCACGTGCTTTTGTGAGCGAGGTGCTTCCCTCCGGGAGAAATTCGCCGTCCCCATATGCTTAACACGGAGCCGAGCGGCGGCTGACAGGTGGCCGGCTCTCGGGAGATCGGCAGCCGACACTCGAAAAATCGACAAGCCGCCGCTGAATGCGCGTGCGAAGATGAGCGGGGTGCCGCCGTTCCGGAGAGACGGCTGGAAAATTCCACCGGCCGGCCCGGCGGCAGTGTGTTGGGCGGCGGGCGGCGGGGCGGGGTTTCCCCGTCCAGCGGCCGGCAGCGCTGAGCCGAGTCGTTCCCACGGTCTGGCGGCCAGCTGGGTGGGGGCGGGGTGGGGAGTGGGGCGGCCGATTGCCAGCCGCTTCTCCACGGGTAGGTGCTGCCACCTGCGCAGTAGTTCCACTGGCGGCCGCCAGGCCCGTGTGCGGGCCGTGCGCGGTAGTTCCGCCAGCGGCCGCCAGAGGTCACGCGCGTCGTGTCTAACCTGACGAAGCTACAAAAAGTTAGATAACTTTGATAAGAGGGACGGTAAAGCCACAATTCCAACGCTGAATGTTGGGCAAAAGCAAAGGGATCCAACACAGCCATCTGTATTTACTGTATTTACCCTTTTCTGTCAGCGATAAGCCCCAGCAATCGCACCGCTGTAAAACTCGCAAGCTGTTCACCGTGCAGGGTATTGCATTATAACCACCCACCGGCTCTCTCTACGTATGTGTAATCGCTTAATAGGTAGGACGCTAAAACAAGTTAGAAATGATAGGTAGGTGAAACAAAATACAAATTGGGAACAAGTATAATTCAAATTACAAATAATTCATTGGAACAAATCAAAATTATCTGAGACCAAGGCAAATTCGCAAAGTCTTTGATCGACTAAAGACGTCTGATTTAAACGTCGGAAAGGAACAAGTTCTTTGCGGTATTTAGGCAAGTAAATACCAAGTACTTTGGCAGGTTTTCAGTACATTAGCAAGTTTTCAGTACATTACCAAGTAGCAGGTGATACAGCAAGCTGGCAGGTACTTTGGCAGGTTCAACAAGTTTTTCGTGAATATCTAAGCTTCTAGACGTCCGATTAACACGGGACGAACACCAATCGATCCCAAATTTTCTCCCTCATACTTTGATTGCCAAAGCGACGCGGAGCGAGCCAAGATATCTTGTTTAAATATCCATTTGACTAGGATTTGGCGTTATTTGAAACGCTCAGTTTTTGCAGCGAGCTTTTCCTGTTAGGGCCTGCGAGATACCCGCGGAAACACATATCTCTTCAGCATTGCGCGCCACACAGGAATGCGGCTGATTCACGTGCTTTTGTGAGCGAGGTGCTTCCCTCCGGGAGAAATTCGCCGTCCCCATATGCTTAACACAGAGCCGAGCGGCGGCTGACAGGTGGCCGGCTCTCGGGAGATCGGCAGCCGACACTCGAAAAATCGACAACCCGCCGCTGAATGCGCGTGCGGCAGTGCTGAGCCGAGTCGTTCCCACGGTCTGAGGTACCCCCAGTTTGAAGATTCGGCCTTAGAATATGTAGTTTTAAATACGTAGTTTGACGTACATCTCGGAAAAGTGAGATACGGCCAGAAATGAGTGTGGGTCCCTCCGTTCTGAAGATTCTGATCGACGCCGATTGAAATAATTCGCCGTGCATATCTCGGCTTATTGACGACCGATTGACACGGGATAAACACCGATCGATACCAAATGGCTCTGTGTGTGTGTGGGGGGGGGGAGGGGGTAGAGTGGCAAGTTTTCCTACCCGACGAACCCGGAATTATCCCGAGGGGGTAGGTGTGGGAGTAGAGTCGGGGGAACGGGGGGGGGGGGGCGAGTGCAAGTACCAAGTACTTTCGCAAGTACCAAGCAAGTACCAAGTACTTTTACAAGTACCAAGCAAGTACCAAGTACTTATGCAAATACCAAGCAAGTACCAAGTACTTTGGCAAATACCGAGTACTTATGCAAATACCAAGCAAGTACCAAGTACTTTGGCAAGTACCGAGTACTTTGGCAAGTACCAAGCAAGTACCAAGTACTTTTGCAAGTTCAACAAGTTTTTCGTGAATATCTAAGCTTCTAGACGTCCGATTAACACGGGACGAACACCAATCGATCCCAAATTTTCTCCCTCATACTTTGATTGCCAAAGCGACGCGGAGCGAGCCAAGATATCTTGTTTAAATATCCATTTGACTAGGATTTGGCGTTAT